ATGGCGTCACGAGGAGAGGGTTGGCTAACTATCCACGACCACAAGGCACCTCCAAGGCGTCGCATCAGGCCTAGTTAGCTCAACTATACTCCCCTCTAGACTACACTAACACCATGGACCACTAGGCACCTCCGAGGCGTCCGGTTTTCACAAACACTTTTCAAAACCTTTACCCAAAATCATTTCATTTGCTTTCAAAATATTTTTCCCATTTTCCTTTCCCAATGGATGCATAAATGCGTCATACTTCAATTCGTTAATTCAACCGTACAACTTTCACATGTACTTTGCAATTCAAATCTCTAAAATAGGAAATCATGCTTCCCTTTAACATACATACAACACATAAGCAACTTACAAGAATTCAAGTTAATTAGGCATACAAAATACAAATTCCATTACACATAGACATGTTTCTCATAATATCATCAACACACATAGGCATAGATTTTCTAGCACAACAATCATGTCATTCTCAAGGCAATCAATTTAAATAGAGCATGCTTTTCATACAGTTTTGATTATTTCACATGTTCATATATTTCATCTACACAAATCAAGTTACTTCAAAATACAATTAACACTATTTAGCATGTTAGAACATAATTCAAGTAAAATTAACTCACTAAGGTGCAAGATTGTATGGATTAGAGACCCCTACCTCAAAAGTAGCCAAAATACATCCCTGGCCGGAAAAGTCAACGCCGGTCAACGCGGTCAATGCCGGTCAACAAAAGTCAACGCCGGTCAACGGTGGTAGAACAGAAAACTGTTTGGTGGAAACGTAGCCGTCGACGAGGAGATTCTACTATTCCAAAGTGTCAGCTCCGGAATCCGACTCTAAGTGGCCCAAAATCCTATCCGAAGCCTTAGATCCAAAAACTTCAAAAATTCATAAAATAATCATCGCTCCTCTGAAAAATAAACCCTTTGAGTATGTGATAGAGAAGGAGGAGAGGTCAAGGAACCAAGACCAGAATCCCAACCAATTTGCCGAAAAATGGAAGAGAAAATCGAAGTCTCAAGAAAAAGAAAAATGAAAAGAAAATTAGAGGAGAGAGAGAGCTGCATGAGAAAGAGAGATTTGAGACCATTTATGGCCTCTTTGCCCCTTTAAGGTGGTGGTGGGACCCACCACTAAAAATTTAATTTTCTTTTTGTTTTATCTTTATTTCTTTTTACACCACCTACATACATATACACATTTAATTCACAATCACTTAAAACACATAAAATAAAATGAATATGATGCAAATGGACCCAACTAAAATCCCCGGATGCAACAACTCCGGTAGCGGGTCTCACACAAGACCGTCCAGGCCGAAAAAAATGAAAAATGCCAAAAATTGGAAACATCACAGCTTGTTTTAAACTTTATTTGACTAGTTTTAAGACAGATTATCCTCTCATATTGTAAAATAACCATTCTACCCCTAGTGTGTCCTCGGGTTTGGTTAAGAACCCTGTTAGCGATTCGGACTCCTGGTTCGGGTCGTTAAAGAGTCACCTGGATTAATAAAGGTAAGCCTTTCGATCCTCTTTGTCTTACCAAAAATAGGGATAGATGTATCTTCCATTGGCAAGATTGGTCCTGTTGCAACTACAATTCTCCTTAGCGCCTTTTCTGTTAATAAAGTAGAGACTTTGGGAACGTCGTTCTAGTTTAACGAATGCAGAATCCTGAGTCTTGCTCTGCAAACCTTAAAATCAAAAAAATTAGAAGAAAAACCCAAGTGGTGGGCAAGGAGACCACAGAAATGTGGAAGGTGCTTTGAACATGTGCACTCGTATGTATGTGTTTTTAAGGGGTGAAGGCTAGAAGGGCACTCATCCTAAACACCCTGGGAATGGCAAGCAAATGAGTCTAAGGGGACTTCCAATTGCCCCCAATAACAATATGATTTTTCTTCCAATTCTTGTCTGAATCAGAGGTGTCATCCGTTCGAAGATTGGATGGAGATGATACCGAATGCCAGTTTTGTTGGTTCTAACCAATTTATAGCAAAAGAAAAGGTCGAATGCATTTAGTTGAAGACCCCGGTCCAAGTTTAGGAGAATCATTGAAGATATGATCCTATACTGAAGAGTGGCCAACCCTAGGACACTGAGGACCGAGTATAATAGAGGGTGAAGTGGGAACCTAACCACACAGAGTTGGGATGGGGTGAACAAGATTTCATCATCTTCAAGACCCCTCCCAGTGCTAGCACCCTTGTCGTCCAAATAAAAACGGGTGGTGACACCGTCAGGGATTTTACAACGAAGGCGAAAGGATTCTATGTTAATGCCTATGGTAATAGGAGAAAGGTCAGAGAAAGAAAAAGAAGAAAGAAATGAACAAAGCCTTCTCCAATTTATAAGAAGCTTGAGGCCTTCACGTGGGGAGGTCAGAAGTCAAAAGCAATCATGGCTTTTCAAAAACCGAAGCACCTAACACGCCATCCCCTAACACCGTGAGGTCCAATCACAGCCTTCGTCGTCATCAAAACACATTAATCTCACCCTAATCGTTATGGCGAAATTAAAGGGGTAGATAAAGAGTTGGGAAATGCGAACTGGCCTAGGTCGGGCCAGGTGCAGCTCAATAGACCCGACCGACTGGATTGCTCATCATCCGAGAAGTCAAAAGCATAAATTTTTATTAAAAAAAAAAAAAAAAGTGTCATATATTTGATCTGCAACATACCCATACTCTAATGGATTTTGTTTTGTTGCCATGTACCTTTTTTTTTCATTCTTTTTATAATTTTTTTTTTTCTTTCAAAGATCAAGTAAACACAAATTCACAGTATATTTTGCTCCTACTTAAACTTAAACACTCAATAAGAGAAAAGAGCTTATATCATCTAGGCCAGAGCCTATCGATTCTGGTCATGTACCTTATTGCTCTCTTTAATTAGTTCATTTTATTGGATTCATTTGTGGCATTGATCCCTAATTTTAGTTGGTGAATTATATATACATATATCAAGGGTCTTGTGACCTAATGACCAGTGGCCTAGTAGTACCAAGCCTCTACTTCTCAAAGAAAGGTCAGGGGTTTGAGTCTCATTGGAGGCATGTGTGTTTGTGAGTACTAACAAGGAAAAAAAAAATGATATCTTTTTTACCTCTCAAAATAAAGTGTCGTGGGTCCTAATGATATCTTCTTTATCTCTTAAAATAAACAGTGAGAATTCAAGTCTGGAGAGGTACATCGTGAGTGTGTGAATAATGTTGGTGTGTTTCTTACCGGAAAAAATAAATAAATAAATAAATTATATACACGAATACCTCCATCCAATCATTGTTACAGGTGAAAGGGTTGTTCCAGAAACAACTTAATAAGAGTAAGGTTGGCTTCCAAATTTATAACTCAAACTATATAAGCCACGTCCCCCTACCCCAACATACCTTGAAGTTCTTTTACTTGTCCCCCTACTAACTAAACTGCTTTTTGGTTTTTTTATTATTATTATTATTTATTTTTATCATTAAGGTGGATGGCAATATGGCCACCATAATACTAAGAATATTTAATCCCCCAACCCTCTGATATTCATTACGTTCCGTGCAACATATGCAAAGTTAATCAGAACTATGCGCGAACGCATATTGTGCACTCCCGACTCTTATTAGCCCGATGAATGATCCGAATACCTACTCCTCTCTTACCCATGTTGCAAGTTTTACCCAGAAGTTGAATACTTCCGGAATCTTGTTCAAGGGCTGAGAAATCCCAATGTACAGTCCCCCGGAGCATTCTATAATAATTATTATTTTTTAATTTTGCCCGGTTGATGTCATGAATGCCATCTACCGAAAAGCATTTATCAGTTGGGGTTCACATCCTTTTCACTGTTTTCTTTTTTCAGGTTGCTGTCCAACCAATATAACCCACAGCATGTCATCAACAAAAAAGTGAATACTCTATTAATTATTGTTGTTCTAAAAATTGAAGAGGCATTTCAAGAGCCGTTGAGGTTTCAAATTCCAATAAAGGATCTTAAATGGAAATAGCTCAAACTATGATATGCTTTTAGCAAAAATAAATTAAATAAATAAATAAAGTATTGTAATAAATATTTTGGCTAGATGATCCAAACTATATTAAAAATACACCCCAAAAAAATATGGTCAAGTTTTCTAGACTTGTAAGAGTCCAAACAACCAACTCTATCTCTTAGGTTCATTTGACATGCGTTTTATTTGTTTTGTTTTTAGACTTTTACCATATCGATTTTGATAACAAAAACATATTTGGTGCTACTTTATTTTATTTTACAAGGTACTAAAACACACCTCTAGCTAAGTTTACTTTACAAGGTACTAAAACACACCTCTAATTAGGTCAGATTCTGATTACCATTTGCCACATGACATGATATTGTCCGCTTTGAACCTGTGCCCACACTGAACTTTACCCCCAAAAGGTCTCATACCAATTAGAGATAACACCACCACATATAAGCACTTCACATTTCCTTTATGATTATGCACCCGTAACTCGTCAGTGTAGTAGTCGGTCAGTGACTCGCACCCGCCCACAGCACAACAATGGCTCAAAACTAAAACACCAAAAAGTTATTTTTTCAAATAACTGTTCATGGCCAAAACCATAAGAGTAACACAACACGAGCCTAAAATTTCCACAACAAAATGACATTTTCACAACAAAATATCATTTCTAAACGTACTTTTAATTGCATTTCTATTTCAACCAAAAATAAAACACTTTAAATAAAATGCTTGTCAAACAAGTCCGTACTCAATTGTAGAGGAATTTGAAGTTGGTGTGCCTGGAGTCCCACCTCCCAAATTTGAATCAAAAAGCTAAGGGCCAATTTTTATTCTAAAAAAGCAATATCAATCAAAAGCAAATAGTCAAACTAAATTGAGCACGGTTGAAAGAAGCACCAAAAACACACAATATAGAAACGGACAAACAAATATACACATCAAACTCAAAAACAATTCTCAATCAATTTCCAAAAACAAAAACAAAAACAAAAACAAAAACAAAAACAAAAAAAACTTTGAAATTGAAACGAAAATAACCAATTTCCAGGAAAAAAAAACAGAAGTCAATGGATTTCATATAAAATCTCATGCGCAGAGATATCCCAGTCATCTATACACAATTTTCCCATGTCCCTAAGAATTCCCATTTTGAATCTCAAGGAACCCATCATCATCAATCTACCAGACGAAAGAAATATAAAAACCCTAAATTATAATTCAGAATTTGAAAATAAAAGAAGAAAAATATATATAGATATATATATATAGAGAGAGAGAGAGAGAGAAGGGGGGAGAGAGAATTAAGTTGTAATGGGATTCTCAATTGTTGACCGCTGGGACTCTGTGCGACTCCATCGTATCGAATCTGGAGCCCATCATCATCATGGCCTTGAACTCGTCAAAACTGATCATGCCGTCCCCGTTGGCGTCGACGCCGCTGATCATCTTCCGGCACTCGGCCAGCGAGCACTCCTCGCCGATGCTCTTCATCACGTTCAGCAGCTCCTCCGCCGAGATCGACCCGTTCTTGTCCATGTCGAACACCGAGAACGCCTCCTTCAGATTCTCCAGGACCTCGTCGGAGTCGATGTCCTTGGTGTTCAGCTCGATGAACTCGTTCAGGTCGATGAACCCGTCGCCGTCGGCGTCCACCTCCCGGATCATCATGTCCAGCTCCTCCACGGTGGTGTCGTTGCCCAGGCTGCCCATTATCGCGCCGAGCTCCGACGACGAGATCTTGCCGTCGCCGTTCACGTCGAATTTCTTGAACACTTGGGCCAGCTCTTCCTCGATCTGCGCGCGGGAGATGGTGTTCGACGCCATGGACGGCGATCGGGAGGATTGGTGGAGAGAGCTCGCGATCGACAGTGAAGAACTACTGCGTTTCTTCTTGCGACTGAAGAGACTTCGCAAACCCATGATTATTTATTCTGAATTTTGTCTGTGATTTGTGAAGGAAAGAATGAACAAATGCGATGAATGAAATGAAACAGAGGTAGAGAGAGAAAGAGGTAGAGGGTGATACGCGTACAAGCAGTTACGGGAACACGAAGATTTGGGAGATTGAGGTGAAATTGAACTTTCTCTCTCTATATAGATATATAAGTACGTCTATATAAAGATTTTCTGTTTCCTGAGAGTGTTAGCAATAAGCGTGAAGGCACGATAAGATTACCTGTGATTCAATCCGTGTATTTCGTATTTAATCTTTTACTAAATTGGAGATGAATTCAGATTCTCATAATTTTACCAGATTATCCCCTATTTAATGGCTCTAATAACACAATTTACAAAAATGATTTTTAAACACCAAAAAATATACGGCCAAACATTTATAGCCTAATTCAAGTGGGACCTTTAACCAAATCTAATCAATCTGAGCTCATCTAATTTCTAATTTAAATTAGTGGGGCCTGTCTTGAATTGATGTGGTGCAGCCGTGCAGGTTTGAGTTCGAGTTTGGGTTCAGGTCATGGTTCACAGTAATTGGCATGGTTGGAGTCGAATAAAATCAGTGTAAATTAATCGATATGGATAGTGTATCGAATTTAAAAAAAGGTTGTGTATCAGCCTATATGTCATGTATCGAATGATACGACAAATCATGGTTCGGTAGATCAACATGCTAACTCAATTCCAAACATTTGAGTCCAGAATTTTTAATCCAAGCTATGACAAATTTTTAAAAAATGTTGTCCAAGCTCTTTTTGAATTAGGCTTGGGTTAGCCCGCATAAGCTGCAGCCTTACTTAGAAGCCCAGGGCGGACTTATTCGCGTATATATTTTCTAGTCAAATATAAAAACACCAATCCGTGCAATTCAAATGTTTAACCCTTAATATAAGATGGCAAAAGAATGAATAATTCATTTGACCTTTCTTTATCCTATCCATGGAAAATTAGAATTATTGCGATTATTAAATTCTATTGATAAATCTATAATGATAGATCAAAATAATAGGGCTTTTAAGCCCTTAAAAATGTGTAACTAGGGCTAAAAACCCCAACTTGTGGTGTTTGTCAGATGTTTTAAGGCAGCTCGTGATAACAGAATATGAGTTATTGTAAACTCAGTCTATACAATTCGGTTATTTTAATCCTAATACCAAATAAATTAAGATTCTTGTGTTTTTTTAATCTTATTAACAATTTTTTGATCATCCATGATTTAATGGAGTCTTTAATTATATTCAAGTAAGATATATAATCCAAGGGTTTAAATATCCATTCGTTTGGAGATGTTTTATTGGGTCTTTGAGGGTAACGGTTATTGAACACCCGTCCAATCAAAACACTTAATTTTTTATTATCACTTTAAACCTTCACCCGAGGCTGGCCAGAATTGGCCATATATATTGACATTCTTTACCACAATTTATTTAATAATTTTTTAGAATTTTTTTTTTTTTTTTTGGCTAAAATAAATTTGATGGAGGTGATAGAAAAGTGCAATAATATCTAATGCGAAATAGATGGGGGAACAACCATGTAGTAATGATTGAGAGTTTAATTAAGAAGCTAAAGTCTTGACCATCTTAATCCGAATAAAACTTCAAAGATTTCGAAAAAAAAAAAAAAAAAAAAAGTTAATAATAATAATAATAAATTAATTTTTAAAAAACCAAAGTGTTTTGCACTTTATTTTTTATGTTTTGTTTTAATTCAAAAAGTATGTTTGGTATCGTTCATTTATTACAAAATTTTTTGAAGTAAAAATATGAAAATATGTTTGGTAAAAAAGTATTGCAAGTTTAAAAAATATAATAATTAGTTTAAAAATGTCATTTAAAAATTTTTCAAATATATATATATATATATATTAATATTCATTTTTATAGTACCCCGTTGTTAAACATGTAAAAATATCAAATTGGTGTCTTGAGTTTTGGCCAAATGAAATCTGATCAAAAATCTTTAAATGAAATTTCATGAATGAAATTTAAATTTTCAAAATCCTATTTTCTGGATGGATAATACTTGTGTTCTCAAGTGAGTCCTTACTCTTAGAGAGTACTAATGTGGTCCAATCATAAATACATACACATTTTTTAATTATAAAATTAGAAAAGTAATAAATAATAAAAATGAACCTAAAATTGACTGATTTTTATTTTTTAAAATTAATAACTAAATGTGATGTGTCAGTATAAGATTGAAATGCATCAATAGCCATTGGAGAGTACTACTCACCACTTAATAGGTAAGTATTATCCGGATTGTCAGCAAACTAAATTCTTAAAATAAAAATTGATACATTTGTAATGTGAAAACACTCTTTTTCTTTGACTTTAAAACCGATGAAACATCACCTAAAATTCATAAATTTTAGGTGAGTGAGACAGGAAAAGGTCAAAAAAGAAAAAAGAGTCGCGTATCAATCGATACGTCACGTATTGAACGATACGATGAACCATGGTTCAGGTAGATCAACATACTAACTCGACCCCAAACATTCGAGTCGAAATTTTTTAACCCAAGTTATGACAAAATTTTAAAAAATGTTGTCTAAGCTCTTTCTAGGTTAGACTTGGTTTAGCCCGCCTAAGCTACAACCTTACTTAGAAGCCTAGGCTTATTCGAGTATATATTTCCTAGTCAAATACAAAAATAAGTAATTCGACTCCATCCGTACAATTCAAATGTTTAACCCTTAATATAAGATGGCAAAAGAATGAATAATTCATTTGTCCTTTCTTTATCCTATCCATGGAAAATTATAATTATTGCGATTATTAAATCCTACTTATAAATCTACAATGATAGATGATCCATATAAGAGGCTTTTAAGCCCTTTAAAATGTGCAACTAGGGCTAAAAACCCTCTACTTGTGGCGTTCGTCAAATGTTTCAAGGTACGTCGGTGATTGCAGAATATGAGTTGTTATAAACTTAGTCCGTACAATTCGGCTATTTTAATCTTAATACCAAATAAATTAAGATTCTTGTGTTTATTTAATCCAACTAATAATTTTATGATCATCCATGATTTAATGGAGTCTTTAATTATATTCAATATATATGACCATTCATGATTTAATGGAGTCTTTAATTATACTCAAGTAAGATATGTGATCTAAGGGTTTAAATGCCCATCTGTTCGGAGATGTTATTGAATATTCGGGGGTAATGATTATTGAATACCCGTCCAATCAAAACACTCCATTTTTATTATCATGGTAAACCTTCACCCGAGGCTGGCCAAAATTGGCCATATATATTGACATTCTTTCTCACAATTTATTTAATAATTTATTTGATTTTTTTTTTTGGCTAAAATTAATTTGATGGAGGTGATAGAAAAGTGCAATAATATCTAATGAGAAATAGATGGGGGAACAACCTTGTATTAATGATTGAGAGTTTAATTAAGAAGCTAAAGTCTTGAGCATCTTAATCCAAATAAAACTTCAAAGATCTCGTAATAGACCAAAAAAAAAAAAAAAAACAAGTTGTTAATAATAATAATATTATTATTAAAAAAAATTATTTTAAAAAAACAAAATCCTGTTTGATTTGCGCTTTATTTTTGACATTTGTTTTAACTTGAAAAGTATGTTTAAATGTTCATTTGTTACAAAAAATTTTAAAGTAAAAACATGAAAACATGTTGGTAAAAAAATATTGCACGTTTAAAAATATAATAGTTAGTTTAAAAATGTCATTTAAAATTTTTTTCAAATATATATATTAATATTCATCGCTATAGTACCCCGTTGTTAAACATGTAAAAATGTCAAATTAGTGTCTTGATTTTTGGCCAATTGAAATCTGATCAAATATCATCTTCAAATGAAATTTCATGAATGAAATCCAAATTTTCAAAATCCTATTAATTTTCTGGATGGATAATACTTATGTTCTCAGGTGAGTCCTTATTCTTAGAGAGCACTAATGTGGTCTAATCATAAATACATACATATTTTTTAATTATAAAATTAAAAAAGTAATAAATAATAAAAATGAACCTAAAATTGGATTTTTTTTTTTAATTAATAACTAAAGGTGATATGTCAGTATAAGATTGGAATGTATCAATAGCTAGTGGAAAGTACTACTCACCACTTAATTGGTAAGTATTATCGGGATTGTCAACAAACTAAATCCTTAAAATAAAAATTGATACCTTTGTCATGTGAAAATACTCTTTTTCTTTGACTTTAAAACCGATGAAATTTCACCTAAAATTTTCATAAATTTTAGAAAAAGAAAAAAAATAGGTGAGTGAGATAAAAAAAAAAGGTACAAAAAAAAAAAAAAAAAAAAAAAAAAAAAAAAAAGGATCGCCTATCAGTTAATTGATACGTCGCGTATTTGGATGATACAGTAAACCATGGTTCAGGTAGATCAACATACTAACTCGATCCTAAACATTCGAGTCAAGATTTTTTAACCCAAGTTATGACAAAATTTTAAAAAATGTTGTCCAAGCTCTTTTTGAATTAGGCTTGGGTTAGCCCGCCTAAGCTGCATCCTTACTTAGAAGCCCAGGGCTTGTTTATTCGAGTATATATTTTCTAGTCAAATATGAAAACAAGTAATCTGACTAAATTCATACAATTCAAATGTTTAACCCTTAATATAAGATGGCAAAAGAATGAATAATTCATTTGACCTTTCTTTATCCTATCCATGGAAAATCAGAATTATTGCGATTATTAAATCCTACTGATGATAAATCTGCAATGATCGATGATCCATATAAGAGGGCTTTTAAGCGCTTAAAAATGTGCAACTAGGGCTAAAAACCCTCAACTTATGTTCGTCAAATGTTTCAAAGCACACCGGTGGTTACAGAATATTCGTTGTTGTAAACTTAGTCCGTTCAATTCGGTTATTTTAATCCTAATACAAAATAAATTAAAATTCTTGCGTTTATTTAATCCTACTATTTTATATGATTATCCATGATTTAATGGAGTCTTTAATTATTTTCAAGTAAGATATATGATCTAAGGGCTTAAATGCCCATCCATTCGGAAATGTCATTGGGTATTTGAGGGTTAAGGTTATTGAATACCCGTCCAATCAAAACACTCCATTTTTAATTATCATGGTAAACCTTCACGCTGGCCAGATTTGGCAATATATATTGACATTCTTTCTCACAATTTATTTAACAATTTTTTAGATTTTTTAGATTTTTTAGATTTTTTTTTTTTTTTGGCTAAAATTAATT